CATGGTAGCTGGTTTGCAATTTAAAGGACTGCAGGCCATATCGTCAGTGAGCATCAGGACAGTGTGGCTGCTCTCCGTGATTTCTGAATCCTGTCACAAACTAATAGTCTCTGTCATAATTTTTACTTTCTGTGCACATCCAAAGAACTCAATTATCAGGCCGTTTTTAGGATTCTTCTTTAAAAAAGATCAGTGTTATGTCTAGGAGTAGACACACAAAAGACCCCTGGGGTGTAGTTGAAAAGGTCATTCATATTAGTTTCGCTAGCTAGATTAATTACCTCTAAAAACTACAAGACATAAAATGTATGTCTATCCATAAGATGGACTCTAATTGCATGATTAGGTTGACATGAGAGAGAATCTTCTCCCACTTAGCTACTGACCAGAGCCATTATGTTAGAAGAAAGCCACTCATACGTGGACACTCCTTGGCAAGTGTCAATACTAAACAATAGCTCATTGTTTGTTTGGTTTTTTTTTTTTGTTTTTTTCTCCGGTACCGGGAACTGAACTCACGACCTTGTGCTTGCCAAGCAGGCGCTTTTGCCGCTGAGCTAAATCCCCAGCCCCCAAACAATAGCTCATTGTAAGGCTTTTTCTTTTTTTTTTTTTTAATCTCTGTTGGATAAGGTGCCTCAAACATGAAGAAACTGTCATAGCTTCCACCTTTCCAGGTTAGCAATTTTTGCTAGGATGAGACACGTTGCCCTCTCCCTGTGGGCCTGTAGTGGCTACATCCAGAGGCTATGCTTTAAGCTAGTGGTGAAACATCCACACCTGTGTCTAAAAGCCCTTTAAATATTTTTTTCCTTCAGTAGGCAATTCTATCTTGGGGTAATTTTAATCTATTGATACCAGTAAGTGTCAGAAGATCCAAAACCCTGGGATCCCTTTCCTTATTTATAATGTTTACTACTTTTGTCAAGGGACAGTGACTACTTGTGATATGAAAATCTTGGGGGATTAAGTAAGGTTTTGAGTGACTGAATTTTTTATATAGCCCAAATCAGTGACAATGGGCAAAACCTGTTTTGTTTTTTAACCTGGAGATCTCTTTGCAGCCTCTGGCTGCAGCTTTCATTTTATCGCCTTGGGGCTGGGCGAGCTGCTGGTAGGGCCTCAGTTGTCCTGCTTTATTCTTGGGAATAGGCTCCACTGCCTCTGCCCCCACCACCACCACCACCACCACAGCTCAGCAACACAGCCGCCTGCTACTAGGGCAGGTGGTGCAGTGCAGGCGTCCAAAACACTTTTTTGGGATCCAGTTTGCCAGGCAGAAGGAACTGGGACTACGCAGCCATTGTCTCCACCATTTGACCACAGGCACTGGGTGAGCCCGCTCTGGCCGCTGGATATTTTGTTTTCGCTTGGATTTTGAGCATAAACAGTATTTGCGCTGAACAAATTTCTGGTCCCAGAAGCATGCATGATATAAGTCGCAGCGAAGCCAGGGTGCCATGCAGTCCTGACGCTCCTATTTAGCCACAGGCACACAGGTTGGTGGTGCACGCAGATAGCCAGTGCTGGTCTGGGCCTTCGGACACTCGGTCAGCTGGGAAATCCCAGCTGTGTCCGCTTAGGACAGGAGTGCGGGCTTTCCTGGTACACAGTCTATGCCCCTATTGTTTGATGGGGCCAAGGTAGGCCCCATTGGGAATTTTCTGGGATGGGTCCACATTCCTTATTAGTTTTAAATTGACACTTTCCTTTTTTTTAATTTGTCTTTTTGAGATGGTCTCACCATGCATTTCAGGCTGGCCTTGAGCTCACTCTGTAACCCAGGCTGGTCTCAAACTCACAAGGATCCTCCTGCTTCAGCCTCCCGAGTGCTGGGATTACAGGTGTGTGCCACCACACCTGGCTTGACACTTACTTTGCAATGGTACCCTTTGACACTTTATGCAAAGACTAGAAAGTTTTGTTGGAAGAGACAGATAATGGCTATGCTGCCTTTACAGGTGCAACAGAGCAGTTTTGGGCAGAATGTCCCTTGTCCTGCACAACAGCCTTGTTTTTTCCTTTTCCTCCAGACTCTGGATGAATAGCGTGATAGCTGCCGTGAAGGCAGCCCCTTGCACACATGAGAAGCTAGTATCTGCACAAACCCGGAGATGTATTGTTTGTCTTGGATCACTGGGAGTCTGAACTTTAGTGACAGGGTAGATATGTCAAAAGATGGAATTTGCGGGAGAACACCTCTCTGGTGAGGAAAGGTCTCTTGTCCCCGACAGCTCCTTTCCTATTAAACTGGATGAGACTAGAGGGTTCAAGCACAATCGGCAGTGCTGTTCATTGCTCTGCCCTCCTCGTCCCGCTCAGGCTTGGGACTTGACGTTAAAATAAGCTTCCGAGCCCAATACTTTATGGTTGTAAAACCCATTCTAATGAACATCCCGAAGTGAACACAGGAGTCAAATATACAACACTTCTATATGCAGTCTTGAGACTCTAATTGCCCCATTCTCAACTGCTAGCACTTCAATATCCCTCTCTGTGGCTTCTTTGAAGCCAATATATTTTCAAGCTCTGGAGGACCGTACGCTTAACACCTGATGCGCCAGTGCTGAATACTGGCTCCACCAATGCGCTTCCCCCTCCTTATGGTGTGCGCTCCGGAAGCGTTCTCACTGCCCACAGTCCTTACTGAGGCCCCACGTCGGGTGCCAAAGGTAGGGATCCGTTGGGTGCTTGCTGTTCCCTGGGAAGGAACGGCGGTGAGAATGAGGAAAAGACAGACAAGAGACAAATAGCTGGGTCAGGTGCAGCTCTTCTCTTTAGCCTAGGAGAGGAACTGCCAAAGAAGGGTGGACTGTTTATTTATACCCTCCAGAGGTAGATCTTAATTTTAGACTCTGCCCAGCAATCAATTAACGAGCTTATTTACATGCTTTGAGGAGTTCCCACGTTCTCAGGCTGGTTTTGTCCTGCAGGCAAAATTTCTCTCCAGCTTCAGCTCCTCCCAACAGTGCTGTGTCCCTAACTTCACCCCCTACCTACAACCAAATCAAGGACAGGAATCCAGAGGCCAAGGGTTTCACAAGAAACTGATCTTTACTCAACAAAGTTCTACACAAGTGGAATCTCACGCCGCCTCGGCGCCAATCCCCAGCACAGCACGGTAACAAATGGACAGAGCCAGGAGCCCACAGGGTAGTCGGGTAAGGAGGGGTTTGGGAAGCAGGGAGGACTGCGGATCGAGGCCAGGCTGGTCCACAGCCCTGGGCAGGGAAGAAGGTTGAGAAGCTGAAACTTCGTTGTGCAAAAACCAACCAAAAATAAATTAAAAAATTAAATACCTTTCTTAAAAAAGAAAAAAAAAAAAAAAAAAAAAGGAAAGAAAACTAGAAGAACCAGACTCCCCTTCCCTGAAGGTGGCTGGAACCCCCAACCTGGGGAGAGGGGGTCACCAATACTATCAGATAGCCAATCCATGCAGACTCCTAGACCCAGTGGAGGGTGCTTCAGAGAATTGTAATTACCAGAAAGCTAAATGGTATTTTAAAAATTTTTTTAAAACAAATGGCTTCCAGAGACCTGCTCATTTGGGGTGGGGGCAGGGACCACTAGCTGAGTTATGGAATGTGCACTAAGTGCCCCTTGCAAGAGGCAGGCCTGGCCTGAGATCACCGGGCCAGGATGGGTCTGGGGTCCAAGGCCCTTGGCATGGTGGATGGAGCAAGCTGAGGGACGCAGGACTCCAGCTGACCCCAAAACACAAGGGGCCCCCAAAAGAGTAAAGAGCAGGAAAGGGGGAAGATAGAAAAAAACACATTAAGGGGGCTGCAGGGCCCAGTTATCTGGCCAACTTGGAAAAAACTATGCCCCCTTCTGTAGGGGAGTCCCTCCCACTGAGACTGCATCCCCCCTGCATCCCAGAAGTTTCTCTGGGATCACTGTCCCAGTCTTGTGGGGTCTTTGGGTCCACTGGGCACTGTGATGAGCAAGGTGTCCCAGAGGGACAGAAAGGGGGGCAGGGGTTGCTCCCCCACTGCCCTCTTCTCCAAGCCCTCAGCTGACTTCCCGCTGGCAAAGCGTAAGCCTACATTCTCTATCACCACATGCTCAATGCCCCCAACCTTGAGGAAGGTCTCTGGGGCACAGAGCCCGCCCGCCCTTGACACAGCTTCCAGAGAAAGGAGCAGGTGCCGGCAGTTCATGGCCTCCAGCTCTCTTCAGAAGATCCCACCCCTGGAGCATGGGGGAGAGAGACAGGGTGACCTCTGGCCAGTCCTGCTGCTCAGGTGGTCCCCACTCTGCCGGTGGGGATGGGACAAGAACAGGGACACATTAGTTGGCTGAGGCTTCCATGGAGCTGGGAGGAAGTTTGCAGAGCAGGTCCAAAGCGTGCATGTGCTGACAAGGCAGCCCAAGGTGACCGTCCCCCGCCCCAGGTCCTGCGCCTGGCGGAGGCCCCCCAAACCCCCAGCCCTCTCCCATCACCGCCGATTCCAGCAACACAGCGGAAGCTTCTTAGACTCTAGGTGCAGGTTACACGGAAGGCCGAACGGCGTAACTCAGGGGTTCACTAATTCTACTGTCTCCATGCAGTCGGGGGAATGGCGGGGCAGTGCCCGCACATGCGTGTGGCCACGTGTGTGAACGTGAGAGTGTACGCATCTCTACAAGGACCCCCCTCCCGCCTGCCATCCCCGCCTCACCCGAAGCCGGACTTGGTCGGCTGTGTGGCTTCCTCCCTCCCTTGTGGCTGACCCACGTGGGCTGGCCTGAGACGCCTGACAGGGCCTTCTGCCCACCACGAAGTCCCACCCCCTCCCTGTGTAGGATGAGCATGGGGGCCCCGCCCATCTGCCCGGGCACTGGCCAGACAGGCCCAGTGTGGCAGGTGGACAGACGGACGGACCAACAGGGAAGGCGTCTGGATTTGGGTCCCACTCACTCCTCCCTAACCCCCCTCGACCAGGGCACAGCGACTTCTGGACGCAGCGCGCTCACTAGCAATCCCTCCGACGATGCAGACAGAAACCTGCAGGGGAGAGGGAGGATCAGGGCCCGCACCCGTCTTCAGCCCACACTGGCTGACCGGCCACAGCCTGCTCACCTGGCAGTCTCCCTGTCCGCCTAGACCCCATAGAAAGCCGCCAGCCTCTCCTTGAGCAGCGGCGGGAACTGCTCTGAGAACTGCTGCCAGTTCTCCTCCCCCACTTGGTCTTTGAAGCCATGGAGGATCTGCAAGGAGACAGGGGTGGGGAGTAGGATGAGGCGGAGTGGAGAAGGCAGTCTCACCACCTAGGGCCAAAGGCTCTGACCTGCACCCTCCAGGGAACCAGTCAGGGTCTGGTGGGAGCCTCACCTTATAAAACATGTCCCGAAGGTCATCCTTCGGGCTTACCCAGGAGGCTACAGCATCGCAGAAGAAAATAAAGTCCTAAAACGTGATGGATCCCATGTGAGGGGCCGCCCAGGCCAGCCCCCTCCCTGCCCTCAGAGCCCAAGCTGCCCGACCTGCACAACGCCCCCAGGGTTGACACCAATCATCATGCAGATGCCCCGGAAGGCTGAGTCCTTCTCCTCATTGTCCCTGATGTTCCTGAGGGATGTGCACCTGCAGAGGCGGGTGGCAGGTCAGTGGGGGGAGGCCAAGGATGTGCATCCATTGGTGGGGGGTGGGGGAGGTGGGACAAGGGAAGGGTCAGCCTGCCCGCCCAGCCCACCCCCAGCAGGCCCAGGCCAGCACCCACCAAGGCCGGATGAACTGCTGCAGCATGGGTGCCACCTCCTGTGGGCACACGTAGCCCAGGCGGCCAATGGTGATGGCTGGAATGGCAGAGGGACTCGTCAGGCGACCTGCAACCCCGAGTGGCCCCGGGACGGTACGTGGCGCGGCCTCTGGCACAAGGCATCGAGCCCCGCCCCATGGGCCCCAAGGGAATAGCCTCTGGGACCAGCCTAGGCCCCAAAGTCTAGCCAGGCCAGGATGTCCCCCACCTAGCCTGGGTTTCTTCCCAGGTCTCTCCAAGGTCAGCATTTTTCTCAAGGTTCCTCCCAGAAGCCCCATCAAGGTGCTTCAGGATGCCCTCCCTGCCCCCTACAGCCCAGAAGCCTACTTGGGAGAGGCTGGTGAGGCGGAGCTGCAGCCCAGGCCTGGCACCCACCTGTGTTTTCCAGCAGCGTCTTGGGTGTGTTGGGCCGGTTAATGATCTCCACTAGGTTGTTGAGGACCATCTGCACGTAGGGCTGCATCTCAGCCCCTAGGGAACCCACCAATCAGAGTTCTGCACTGCCTACTGCACCACAGCAGGCCTGAAAGGGTGTGGCCCCAATTACTGACCCACTGCCATCCAGGGGCCACAACTGCTAAGGGAACAAAGCACCTTCGGCTGCTTCCTAGCTGGAAACCATGCCTAACAAAGACAGGCCCACACCCTCCCAATACCAGAGTCTTCTCTGGAGTCTCCAGGCCACATCTGAGAAGACCACACTGCCCAGCCTTCCCCTTTCCTCCGGAAAAGAGGCCAAAGTCATCCAACCATAGTCCAATCCAAACTGACCTCTTGTCACACCTCTTTGGAGAAACCAATCACAAATGGTCTCTCAGCACTTGACTCTACCCCCAAGGATAACCCTCAAAACGTCCTTGGCCGTGGCCAATTGGATGCTCTCCTGAGTCTGTCAGTTAGAGCTAGGCTTCCACCCCCAGGTCAGGAACAGACAAATGGGGAGAGGCACAGCTGGCCCACTTGCCAGGCACTCACCCATCTGCATGCAGATCTCCCCAATGGCCCAGGTAGCATTGTTGCAGACAGAGATGAACTCAGGGTTCAGGTTGGTGCCCAGGATGGGCATGAACTCGGCTGGTAAGGAGGGAGAGAGGTGGGTAAGCAGGAAGGCCAGCATGGATGAGCTACTGGAACTGGTTGGGCAGGCCCATCAGACAGTACGAATACATCCCAGTTGGTCACAGTCTTCCCCGGGTATGTCTCCATCACATGAAGCCAGAGTTGGGCCTATGCGCGCAAGACAGGGGAAGAGCTCACCAATGCAGGGCTTGACATGGATGAAACAGGCTTTGGTGAGGTCCCCCAGGAGGGCGAAGGAGCTCTGCCGCACCTCAGGCATGGAGTCCTGGGGGTTGGAGAGGGTTCAGTGTGACAGCCCCCTCTCTGCTCACCCAGGGGGTATGAGAAGACACAAACCCTGTGCACTTTGTGGTCCCATGCATGGAGGTTCAAGCCAACTGTCCGCATCTGTGACCCTGTTCTAGGGATACAGCTGCAGAGAACACGCATCACTGCTGCCCGAGGCATATACAGCCACCCCTGTGTATCTCCAAGTTCCAATCTCAGATCCAACCAACCATAGACAGAAAATATTCAGAGAGAAAACCGAAAAGACTAGGGTCATTGTTCAGTGGTAGTGTGGTCCAGCAGTGCAAAAGAAACCCCTGCAACTGTACTGAGCACACACAGCCTTTCTCTGGGCATCAATCTCTAAACAGTACCATGTAACCGACTGTTTACATAGCAGCTACATGGCGTTATGAGTCATCAAGAGAGACCAAGGAGGGAGCTAGGGATATAGCTCAGCGGCATAAGCGCCTGCCTGGCAAGTGCCAGGTCCTGAGTTTGATTCCCAGCACCAAAACAAACAAAAAGAAACCAAGGACAACTGTACCGGAGAGAGGGCTTGTGCCTTCACATTTTCTATTTTTGTTTTGTTTTGTTTTTGATACAGGATCTTGCTATGTGGTTCAGGTTGGCCTTAAACTCACTATGTAGCACAAGCTGGCCTCAAACTCACAGCAATCCTCCTGACTCAGCCTCCCAAGTGCTAGGATTACAGGTGTGCACCACCACATACCATTTTTTTCTTTTTTTTTTTGAGATGGGGTCTCTCTGTTTAGTTCAGGTTGTCTTCAAACTCACGGAAATCCTCCTGTCTCAACTCCCCAGTGCTGGGATGACAGGAGCGTGCCACCACGATCAGCCTCACATTTTCTAGTTTTGTTTTTCAACATTGTTTCTTTTTCTTATGCTGTCCATGCTGGGGTTAGGGATGGAACCCAGGACCTCACTTGTGCTAAACTAAGGTCTACTACTGAGCTATATACCTACTGAGCCAGTCCTAGTCCTGTAGCTACTACTACAGCTATATACTACTGAGCTAGTCCTATTTGCTTTTTTTGTTATTCTTTGGTAGTAGCAGAGCAGGAAGGCCAGACTGGGTGAGCTCTGGAATGGGCTGGGCAGGCCTATCAGACAGTATAAATACATCCCAATGTGGTCATGAACCTCCTAGGGTTGCGTCTTCACCACTTGAGGGCAAGGCTGGGGTTCTAGAGCCAAAGGACACTCTACCACTGAGCTACATCACCCATTCTGCCCATGAACTTGAAATCATCCTGGCTCAGCCTCTTAAGGAGCTAGGATTACAAGTGTACACCTTACCATGTTGTTTGCTTTTGTTAATGAGAAGTTCTGTTTATTTGCCTTATTTGAATCACATTTCTGGGGTCTGGGGATTAAAGCCAGGGCCTTCGTTTCCACTGAAGTACAATCCCAACCCTTTTTTTTTTGAGGGGGGGTGTCTTTTTTTGAGACAGGGTCTCCCTATGCAGTTCAGACTGGCCTTCAACTTACTATGTAATCCAAGCTGGCCTCGAACTCACAGCAATCCTCCTGCTCCAGCCTCCCGAGTGCTGGGATTACAGGCATACACCACCATGCCCGGCTGCAACCCTTTAATATAGTTTCTTATTCTTCCTAAGTTGCCCAGGCTGCGCTCAAGCTTCTTGCCTCAGCCTCCCAGAGCACTGGGATTACAGGGGTGCACCACCACACCTGGTTTTGAATCACTTTTTAAATAATCAGAAGCTCTTTTCATTTCAGGATTCTTTTTCCCTGATGTCTGTCAGGCACAAGCAGGGAACCAAGTGCCTCACATGAGCTGCTGAGTACTGTTGCTGTGCAGGCAAAAGCTCGGCTCACTGCCAGTCCTGGTGATGGCCAGAAAGGTTCCCTGCCTGCATGAGGCACACACCCACCTGCATGCACTGGAAGAGCAGTGTCATGATGTTGCTTCGGGCCACCAGCTGCTCCACATGGCCACCCAGGCCCTCAGCCAGGCCGCTGAGCAGGTCCAGTGCCACAATCATGAAGTCCTTGTCGGGGGCCTCGTACTGCTCAGGGTGCTGGGTGTACATCTGGGTACAGGTGGGGTGGGGGCAGGGTGAGGAGGGAGCAGGCCAGGGCCCGGGCAGCAGCAGAGCACGCAGGTGGTGGCTGGGGTGCTCACCATGGCTTGGGCCAGCGTCTTCTGCACCAAGGTGACGCAGCGCTGGTAAACGGGCTCACAGTAGGGCAGGAAGCCGCTCTGCAGGGCGGTGGCCACTGACGATAGGCACTGAGGAGAGGGAGCAGCCAGGTGGTAACACGCAGGGCCTGGGGGGCGGTGTGGGAGGGGACCTGAGGGCACTCACCTCCAGCAGCGGGAAGAGATCCTTGTCCTCATCCTTCAGTTCATTCCACTTCTGGATCAGTGGGGGCATAAGCTTCTGGATGTATTCCTGGAGGAGAGGCAGGAAGTTGAGCTCCCTGGGTAGAGGTCAGCGCTCATCTGCCTGTCCAGGCCCCACCCCCATCCCTGAGTCAGATCGGTACCTCCTAATTCCCAGGCACAGCATGTACCATGATGTCTCCTACCTGTGTCCCCCCTGGACTGGGAGCATGGCAAGGGCAAAGGCAAGGGCCAGGAGGGTCTGTCTGCTGAGATCATGGCCACATCCATGGCTAGGGACATGCATGCCATGGGGCTGCCACCAGGTCACCAGATGCTGAAAGGCATGGAGATGAGGAGGAGCGGCCCACTCTGGCATCTCACCGGCTGGTTGAGGTGGTGGCCCACGGAGTCAGCCAGGGTGCCAATGGCATCATAGAGGATGAGCAGGTTCTTATGCTGGTACTTGCCAAAGGCAAAGACAAGGGTGTCCAGGATGTAGCTGAGGTAGGGCACCAGCTCCGTGCAGGCCTCCTCCTCCAGGGTGGCGAAGGCACTGGAGCGGGGGGGACAGGGCAGAGGGCTCAGTGGACCCCAGTAGTGGCACTGGCCACAGGCAGGTGGGCAGGGTGCTCACGGGATCAGCCAGTACGAATACAAGAGAAATCAGAGCCATGTCAGCAGTCACATTCGAGTATCATCACTTCCCAGGGGCCAGCCAGGGCATGGGGGAGTCAGGAGGTCAAGGTTCACCTGCAGGCTGCTTCCTGCACCCTCTTGTTGCCGTCCAGGATGCGCTTGAGCAGCTCCGTCATCAGAGGTTTAAGGTGCATGTCGGGAGGCTGGCTGACCACCCAGTGGGCATAACGGCTCAGTGTCCAGCAGGCAATGGAGCGGACCAGAGCCTTCTTGTCCGACAGGCACTGGATAAGGTGTGGGATCAGCTCCGGCAGGTAGGGCACCATGCCCTGCATGCAGCCTGAAGATCAGAGAAAGAAGGCCCACGGGTAAGGCCAACCAAGCCTGCCCAGGCCCAGGCATTCCAGTCCTTATAGAAAGGACCAGCCCCACCCAAGGGATGGGGAAAGTGAGGCTCAGTCATTTCACGTAGTCGATGAAAGGCAGAGACAAGAGGAAAACGGGAGATGCACGTCATCTGGTGGTGCTGTTATGGTATCTGGCTACTCATTAATTCTCAGAGACTGCGGGAACGGCACAACAGCCTAGGTAGGTTGAAAGTACTAAAGTACTTCTCGGTCGGTATGGTGGCACATGCCTGTAATCCCAGCACTCAGGAGGCTGAGGCAGGAGGATCATTGTGAGTTCAAGGCCAGCCTGGGCTACAAAGTGAGCTCAAGGCCAGCCTGAACTGCATAGCGAGACCCTGTCTCAAAAAAACAACACAAAATGAAACAAAAAAAATAAAATAAAATAAAAAAGTACTTTTCACTTGACACCCTAAAACATTTATGCTTTTGTGTTACTCTTCATGTTATTTATTTTATTTAGTTATTTTTGCAGTACTGGAATGGAACCCAGAAGCTCTTGTACACTAGGCAATGTTCTACCATTAAAATACACTTCTAGCCCTCTCTTTTTATCATTTTCTTTCTAATTTCAAGACAGGTTCTCACTAAATTATCCAGGCTGGCCTTGAACTTGCATCTCCTGAGTAGCTGGGGCTTTTTTACTTTAATGCAGGGATATAACCCAGGGCCTTGAGCACGCTAAGCAAATGTCCTACCACTGACTCACACCCTGTGCCCTACTCTTTTGCTGTGGCACTAGGGACCAAACAGAGGGATACACTACCACTGAGCTACATCCTCAGCCCCTTCTGTCATGTTTTGAGATAGGGTCTCACTAAGTTCCCCAGGATGGATTCAACTTGTGATCCTCCTGCCAAGAGTGCTGGGATTACAGGCATACATAACTGAGTCACTTTTTTTTTTGTCGGCAGCGGGAGGGCATGGTTAAGACAAGGTAGAGGATGAGCAGGTTCTTGTACTGGTACCTGCCGAAGGCAAAGACAAGGATGTCCAGGATGTAGGTGAGGTAAGGCATCAGCTTCATGCACATAAACTTCAAGCTAGCCTTGAACTCACTATGTAGCCCAGGCTGGCCACACCTGACAAGTGTCTTTGACTTAAGCAGAACAGATAATAGCACGTTCCTGCAAGAGTCAAAGACTTGAGCTCTACTTTCACCAGGCTACAGTCAACTTCTCTAGATTGTTCCCTGTCAATACAAAACCAACTTAATACAGACTATTAATAGACCCTCATGCATTGCATGATGTAGGACACGCTATTCATGTAGCATACACGTTATACCCAGAAACCTTTTCCTTTTTTTTTTTTTTTTTAAACGTACTGGGCCTTTTTTAAACAAAAAGCTACATCCCCAACCCGTTTTGCTTTGAGACCAGGTCTCACTAAGTCGAAGTTACCCAGGCTGGGTTCAAACTTGCAGCTCTCTTGCTTCAGCTGCCTGGAGTGCTGGGATTAAAGCACACTGGCTACACCAGACTTACACTGTGTTTTTTTGCAGTGCTGGGAATAGAACCTAGGCCCTTGCACATGCCATGAAAACACTCCACTGAGCTACATCTCTAGACCTCCTCAAAATTAAGCCATCTGGATTTTGGGTTCCTGCTGCTGTTCTGAAATGTTTATGACTGTTCTGGGAACCTAAGCAGTCACACATGACACCTTCAGTGGGTGGGCCAGAGCCTTGCCCTAATCTATGCTTTATGTGCCACTGGGAAAAAGAAGCCTGAAAACCATGCCAGTAACACAGTGTACTGTGTTTATCTGAGGAAATGTCATTGCTGGGCACTTCAGAATCTCGCAGGGCCAGGCTTGAAGACCAGAGGTGCCTTAGTGATGGTAGGAAAGAAGTATCCACTCTGTGACCTTCAGCCATCCATCTGTGAATGTGGGGGTCTGGAACCACTTAGCAGGTGGTAGCGAGGACCAAGTGCATTCACCTCCGTGGGTCCTCAGCAGCAGGCTGCCCTCCTGTGGGTCAGGCACTGTGAAAGTACCCGCTGATCACCATGGCTCTAGAGCTACTTTCCAGCACCACAGGCCCTGCCTGGGAGAACAAAGGGTGAAGGCCTAAATGCTGGGGCTTGGGGCTCCTTTTAGGAACATAGGCCAAGGGGAGGACCAAGAATCCAGAGTTCTCCAGGTACACGCCTACAATCCCAGCACTTAGGAGGCTGAGGCAAGAAGACCACCACAAGTTTGAGACCAGCCTGGGCTAACATAGGGAGTTCAAAGCCAGCCTGAACTGCATAGTGAGACCTTGTCTCAAACAAACAAACGAAGAATCCAGAGTTCTTTGGAGGGGGGCAATCAGCACCCACCTGCACTGAGGGGCCACACCCTCCACCTAGCACTGCCAGGCTGGCCCCAAGACTGGTGTGGAACCACAGGGCAGAGGTAGGAAGTCCTGGGTGCAGGCAGGTGGGGACTCACCTTCGGCAATGGCTCCCAGCACCAGGATGCCGGACTCCTTGACCACCCACTCAGGGTGGAACAGAAGGCCCTTGAGGAGGGGGAGTAGGTGGGGCAGCAGTTCCTCCCGGAACACGTTGGCAAGGACATCGAGGGCAGCCGCAGAGCACTTCCCTGCAGGGGACAGTGGCAGGCAGGCTCAGGCCAGGACACAAGATCCTAGTCAGCCCTCCACAATCTGTCCCCATCTCCTAAGAGGAGTCAGGCCACCCATGTCCCCAGAGCAAGCCACGCACTCAGATTCCAGTCAGACAGAGCGTCGTCATCGTCATCATCCTCTGTGTCCTCAGACCCATCAGGCCGCTCAGCCTCGTGGGGCAGCGTTACCGTGCGTGATTTATGGAAGCGCGGCTTGATGTCCTGCTCGCTGTCAGGCACCGCCTCATCCTCCTCCACATCACCCTGGGGCCAGGCAGAGGGCTCAGCACCACCGCAAGACCCCAGCCCCCAGGACAGCCCTGGCCTTGCCACCCGTGCCTGACCTTGAGCAAGATGATGTCGATTTCGGAGTACTTCATCCCGTTCACAAGGATGGGGATCAACCTGTTGGGAGAGAAGCTATTCAAGGGGTGCAGAGCCCGGCTGCTATGGGGCTCAGCAGGGAAGAGTGTGGGCACCGGTGCCAAGCGGGCACAGACTATGCCGATACCATGTGTCCTGCATCCACACATTCCCTTCAGGGAATTATCCCAACCTAGTTTCAGCCATCATAATTAGATGACATCATTCTTAGCACCACAGGAAGAGCTCTTGACCCAGACCTGGCTACCTGGTAAATTCCAAAGCCCACAATACGCTGGAAACCCTGTAGCAGTACCTGGTCCCCAGCTCAACATAAGGCATGGGCATGTGAGCCCATTCCTGGGCATGTCCCTAACACACAGCTGAGACAGGGCAGAGATGGGCCCAGGCTGAGACACACACAGGTGGGCGCCCAGTCCCTCAGCAGGGCCCATGAACCTGAGAGTTGCAAACTCTTGATAGAACTCTATTGTCCTGTATGAAACGAGATGCTGCTGTCTGTGTCTCTGTCTCAGTCCCAGCCCCTAACCCACCCATTATTGGTAATAATTCAGGAACTGGGCTTGAGGTACATAACTGTGATACCAGCACTTGGAAGGCTGAGGCAGGAGGATCACAAGTTTGAGCCCAGCCTGGGAAATTTAGGGTAACCCTATCTCAAAATAAAACAGGGCCAGGGGGTGTAGGTCAGGGCAAAAGCCCTGGGTTCCATCACCAGTATTGGGGGAAAAAAGATTCAGGGATAAGTGACCCAAATTGGTCACAAAGGGTCAGCTCTAGGCTTTTTGTTAAAGACTCTCAGTAAGAGAGACTTCTTTATCTGAGTTGCCTAAAGTAGAAGGACAAAGAGGGCCACAGTCCTGTCCACGGAGGCAATGCCTGATACAACACAAAGCCCAGAGCAGAGGAAGCAGATCTGAGACTAGACAGATGTCTTTCACACTCTGAGCACCTGGATCCAGCCATGTCTGAAGACTTGGTTAGTTTCTCATCAATTCCCTAACTTTTAGTCATGAAAGCTCTAATCTTACAAAACACACATGGAGGATGTGGACTGAGGCAATCACAGGAGGTGACCAGAAGGGAAGGCACAGGCACAGCAGGGGTAGAAACAGGTAGGAAAAGGGCAAAGCGACACTCACTGGACCAAGTGGGAGGCCAGGACCTCCTTACAGATGGGCTGCTCAGCCAGCGTCAGCCAGAACTCACAGGCCTCAAGGGCTACGTTCTCATCGTGGTCCTGGGTCCTCTGCAGCATGTACTGGGGGCAGGCAGGAGAGAGGCTGAGCCCAGCCCGCAGTGGGCACCCTCCCACCCCGCTGCTGCCGCCTGCCCACCCAGCCTGGCTGTGGCGTGCACACCTGGATGATGCTGTGCATGTGGGGGATGAGCCGGTCGATCCGCACTTCCAGGAGCATCACCAGGGCTCGGCACACGTTCTTCCGCACCTCGGGGTCGTCATCCACAGCCAAGGCGAACAAGTGCTGCCAGGGAGGCCAGGTCAGCTGCTGCAGGGCCCTTGGTCGCCCTCTGCCCACACCCAGGCCAGCCACCCACCTCGATGAAGGTGTCAATGTTGTCCATCAGCGCCTGGGCCCGGTCCATGATGAATTGGTTCACACAGGCGATGGCATGGGATCTGGCAGGATGCAGAGATGTCAGTCCCCCACTGCCCCACTGCTCCAAGCCCCAGGTACTCTGGGGAGCACATAACCCACCGGATCTTGGGGCTGCAGTGCTTGAAGAACTGCAGGAACTTGGGGATCATAATGTTTAGGGGCCTGTTGAGAGCATCGCTATCCAGAAGCTCCGAGGAGTCTTCGCAGATCTTCTGCAGGGCTCCAAAGGCCCCCTGCAGAGAGAGAGTTGGAGAGGTAGGCCTGGTCCCAGCCCAGGTCCTGGTCCCTGCTTGGACAGAGGCCACAGCTCGTCACCTACCTCACAAGTATTGTAATCCTCTGAGTTGAGCAGGTTACACAGCTGGGGTAGCAGCTCAGGCCACATCTGCAGCTCACCCTTGGAAGCGATGGTGGTGATGAGAATACCTGGAGCAGCCGGGGAAAGGAGGCAGCCTCAGGGTGGCCCTGTGACCTGCCCAACGTGCTCATCACCCCACTGGAGCCTACACAGCCCCCTCTGCTGAGGGTGCTAGAGGTCAAACTCAGAGCTTCATGCATTCTGGACAAGCGCTCCACCCGAGTCACAACCCCAGCACCAAATGACTCTGCTGACATCCTCTGAGCTTACTGTGAGCCAGCCCCAACCAGGCCCTGGGACACAGCCCTGAACAAACAAAAGCCCTGCCCTAAGTGAAGCCGGGGCACACACCTGTCATCACAGCACTCTAGGAGGCTGAGACAGGAGGATTGAAAGGTTCAGCCCAGTCTAGGTAACTTAAAGAGATTGAGCAAGACCCCATCTCAAAATAAAAAATAAAAAAAGGCTAGGGATATAGTTCAATGTGAAGGTCCTGGGTTCCATCCCCACTACCAAAAAAAGAAAAAAAAAAAAAGGAGGAGGGGGGGAGGGGAAGGGGAAGGGGAAAAGGAAGGGGAAAGGGAAGAGAAAGGGGAAGGAAGAGGATAAGGAAGAAAAAAGTGAAAGAACTGGGAGGCCCCAGGCCAAAGAAATAGAAAAGATGTCTAGCAAGGGCTGAGGAGGAAGAGAGCAATTTTAAGCTGGGTAGTCGAAGTGGGTATCATTAGGGTGACACCCTGACACATGAGCAGAGACCTGAGGGAGATAAAGCAAGTCAAGAAGAGCTATCCAGGCACCCAGGGAGAGAGCAGCCAGTGCAAAGTCCCAGGGGAGGCGAGGCCGAGTGTGCTTACAGAGCAGAGAGAAGCACGAACAGGGAACATGGGCGGAAGGAGGTGGCAGGGGGATGGAAAGCACAGGACGTGCGGCTGCAGGGGGACTTTACTGACTGCAGACACCCACAGGCAATATGCAGCAGGCTTGTGAGGCCAGCAAAGCAACCTGGCAGCACAGTTGAAGACAGCCACTGTCACTGCAGGTGGCACCCAATTCCACAAGGTGGCACTGTTTCCCAAGTGGTGGACATTGCCGCTGCCAATTCTCAGGGGACCCTACACCCAAGCACTGGGAAAGGTACTTTCTGTTGTGGGTAAGCACTCAGTGAGGACCCTAAACTAGCACCCTGCCTTTGTTTTTTACCTTTTTTTCTTTGTAGCATTAGGGATTGAATGCCAGACCTTTGCACTGAGCTATATCCCTTTTTTCTTATTTTTTAGTTTGAGACAGTCTTACTAAATTGTCCAGAAGAGCCTCATGTGATCCTCCTGCTTCAGCCTCCCAATGTTGGGATTACAGGCATTTCTCACCACTCCCAGCTCACAATTTTCTTTCTTCTTTTATTTTTTGGGGTTTTTGAGACATGGTCCTACTATGTAGTCCAGGCTAGCCTCAAGCTCACAGCGATCTTCCTGCCTCAACCTCCCAACTGGTGGGACTACAGCCATGAGTCACCACAGTGGATCAAAAGTTGAGGTCTGAACCAAGAGTTGAGTGAGGTCTGAGTCAGGAGAATTAGCGAGTTAAGAGGCCAGCCTGGACTACATAGTGGGACTCTGGCTCAAAAATTAACAAATGAATTAAGTTAAGGTCTGTCTGTCTGTCTATCTACTTACTGAGATGGGGACTATGTTTCCTATATTGCCCAAGATGGCCTTGATCTTGAGATTCTCCTGCCTCAACCTCCCCAGTACCTACAACTACAGATGTTCACTCCCTCACCTAGGCTAAACTGACATAGATTTAAAGGAAAATGTGTAAGATGGTAACATTAAGGAGTAAAAAACCCTACAGGGCAACACCTCCAGTTAATTCCCAGTCACCCTCCTGTAACTTCCCTGGCCAGCCTTCCAACAGTCAGAAAAGTACCTCTCCAAGTGCCCCTGAAGCATTAGTGTTAGCTAAGAAGTCCACAACAGCAGAGAGCCCCAATGAATTACAAAATCCTTAGCTCTTAGCCTACAGTCAGAACTAGTCACAAAGCTTTTTTTTTCTTCCATTTTTTTGAGACAGGGCCTCACTATGTACTTCAGGCAGGTGAACTCACAGCAATCCCCCTGCCTCAGCCTCCTGAGCACTGGGATTCCAGGCATGTGCCACCATGCCTGGCCTGTCACAAGATTCTAAACACTGAGTCACTGTTTTCATAAGAAGGGCTGTTTCCAAGGGCCAGGGATATAGCTCAGCAGCACAAGCACCTGCCTGGCAAGCACAAGGTCTGACTTTGATTCCTGGTAACCCCCGCCCCAAATGAATGGCTGCTTCCAGAGGGAAAGGGTTCCAGAATAGGGATCTGCGCTGTTTGCCATGTTTCCCAGCTCTCTTACCCACCAGGCACAGCCCTTAGCAGCCAGTGCCTTATTTTCTGAACTGCCAAGGAGTAACAGCAACAGAACCAGTACACACGGTGCTATAGCACACAGAGAACAATGCCCTGAAGGTGCTGCAGGGCTTCCTGGCCCACAGCAAAATTCAGGGTGGGCTCAAGGACCCCTCCCTTCTCACCAATGGTGGCCCGGATGAGGGAGGAGGCATCACCGAGGTTATTGAGACACTCTTGCTTGATGAAGTCGGCCACAGGAGGCGGGAAGCTCTGGTAATGGGCCTTCACATTGTTCTTCAGGATGAGGCCACTGAGGGAGCGCGTGGGCTCATCTGGGGGAACAGGGCTGAGGTTCAGGAAGCCACATAGGAAAGCGTGGTCCGGCTCACATGGAGGGGCACAGAGGGCGTACCTTCCGTTTTGAGTCTGGTCAGCACGAAGATCAGGTAGTTGTTGAAGTCAGGAAACTGGTTGAGTTGTTTGAGTTTCTGTCAGACTGTTAAGGGACTTGGAAGACAGGAGCCTTCCCCAGGCAAGGGAAACAGCTGCACAGCTGAGGGCACCTGGGACCAATCGGACTCAACCACCACTCATCAACCCTATGCCCAGAACGCAAGAGCATTTCAGACATGTCAGGTCTACCCTGAGCTTCTGCCAGCTTGTGAAGCCCCTGCCAGAGCAGCAGAGGACCAGGGAACCCCCAGCACTGATGGCAGCAGCTGACACCTGCCTCTGCTCCCTAGTAGTCTAACACCCTGGTTACTGTTAAAAGAAGCCAGATGTGGTGGCGCATGCCTGTAATCCCAGCACCCAGGAGGCTGAACCCAGAGGATCACTGAGTTCAAGGACAACCTGAACTATATCATAGGGAGACTCTGTCTCAAAAGAAACAAGAAAAGGGCTGGAGATATAGCTCAGTGGCATAAGTGCCTGCCTGACAAGTGCAAGGTCCTGAGTTCAATTCCTGGTACCAAAAACAACAACAAAAAAAAAAAAAAAAAAAAAAAAAAAAAAAAAAAGACAGAAACAAGGAAAAAAAAAAGGAGCAAGAGTCAAGGCTAGACAGATACCTCAATGGCAGAGTGCCTGGTTAACAGATACCAGGCCCCAGGTTCATTTCTACCACCTTTACAGGGTGGGGCAATCAAATTTTGTAATTTTTTTTTTTTTTTGGTTTTTCTCCGGTACCGGGAACCAAACTCATGACCTTGCGTTTGCCAGGCAGGCGCTTTGCCGCTGAGCTAAATCCCCAGCCCCTGTAATGTTTAAATACTGTATTAAAATTTTTCAAGTAGGGCCAGGGATATAGCTCAGCAGTACAGTGCCTGCCTGGCAAGTGTAAGGTCCTGAGTTCAATTCCGGGTACCAAAAAAGATCTCAAGTATAATCATATACTACCTTTTTTTTTCCTTTTTGAGACAGAGCCTTGCTATCTCGCTATGTAGTTTAGGCTGGCCTTGAACTTGCAACCATCCTCCTGCCTCAGCCTCCCAAGTGCCAGATTACAGGCATTGGCCCCTACAACCACCATAATGTATAATACTTTGAACAACTGGGGAAAAAAGTTTTTTGCAGGGGATTGAATCCAGGGCCTTGTGCATGCTTTTGATCACAAAGCCTAAAACAAAACCCAACTTTGGTCCAGGTGTCTCCCTCCTCGCAGGCCACTGCCTCTCCCCCATTCTGACAAGACAAACTGGACTCAACTCCAAGAGGGTGGACTTCCCATTCTAGCTCCACTACTTAGCTATCACTACCCTGGACAAGTCATTTTCTCCAAGCCCTATCTGTAAAATGGAAAGAACAACCATACCTACTTTCATAGTCCAAGGAGTAAGTCTCCATGGATATTAAGTTTCTATCATTCCTACCAGTTCCCGCAGCACTGAAATGGGGCCCAGAAATGAGAATCCTTAATTCTCTTCCCGTGCCATGCTCTTCCCTACAGCAGTCTAGGGATTAGGGAGCAAGCCCTCCCCACTGCCCTTCCCCCAGCCCCAGGAGGAAGGAAGGATACATCCTGCACTATGCGCTGCGTGGCTGTGTTGGGCGACTGCGAGTCTTTGAGCAGCTGCAGGACCTGCTGCAGGCCCTGCTGGTCAGGCTGCCAGTCCATGGCACAAGGCAAGCTGCGGGAGTAGGGGCCAGGGTCAGCGCTGAGGCTCTCGGGTTCCACTTGAGACCCGGGTTGAGCCCCTGAGACGGCTCCCGGCAGCCATGTGAGGCCGGGAGAGCACTTGGAGGCCCAGTTGCGGCGGTCGCCAATCCACGCCCGCCCAGGTGCGGGATCCCAGACAGCCGCGCCATCCTCGCGGCGCAGTGGCGGGCTCCAGAGGGCGAGCAGGGCGTTGTGGAAACAGGCCAGGAGACCTGGTGATGGGGCTAGGAAGAGCCTGATCCGTCCCCACGCGGAACCCTCTTCCCACGGTGGTCCATGCTGCTATCACCCCCAGCTGCGGGTCCTAAAGCTTCCATCTCCCTCGCAGCAACTGGGCGAGGCCCCACCCCAGACAGCGCCCCGGCCCCCCCCGTGGTCTCCTGGGTGCAGGCACAGCCCCGGAAGAACCCCCATCTCCTGGAAGATACCAGCGGCCTCCTTCCCTCTTCTCCTCCCTGAGCTTCCCCACGTGCACGGTCCCAAGGCGTTTCCATCGTCCCGGTCCCTGTAACCTCCTCTAATCTGGCCCTTCAATCTCGGCAGTGCCAGACGCGCTTCTTTCTTTTTTTGCCTAACCCGACCCAGTCCAGCAATTCTTCTTAATCAGTCCCAAAGCAATCCCCAGACTGGTTTCCCTTGCTTCTTCCAATGAGAGCAAGCCAAGCCCGCCAACCCGCGACTGAAGCCCCTGGACCGGTCCCGGCGCCTGCCCCAATCAGGTCGGGCCCAGCCTCTCCTCCCACCCTCCGCCCCAGTCAGCAGTTAACTCTAGCAGACGGGTCTCTGCCGCTTCCCCCAATCAAGTTCTGCCAAGCCCCCCACAATTTCGGACCGGACACCCCCCTTGCCGACACTGCGTCTCCCCCAACTAGGCCTAGCCGAACTAGCCCGTCCCCCCGTCCTGCCTCCCCCCAACGGATCCCAGAGTTGCCGCAAAGCCCTGTAGGCCGAAGTCTGCCGCCCCTCCCTACCAGGGCCGAAAGCTCCCACTCCAACTTTCAATGCGGCCTCCCCCATTCGGACCCAACCAGCCCCGCCGAAAGGGGCCCCCACACACCCGATCCTCGGGACGTCCCCCAGTCAGGCCCTAAGGCGTCCCCGGACGCGTCCCCCAGTCTGATCCCCTCCAGCCCGACCCCAGACGCCCCACTGGCTCGCTCCTCGCGGCACCCGGACCTGGCCCGGCTCCGAGGCCCCACCCCCTCGGATCGGTTCCCCCTCCCCCGCCCGGCCCGTTTTCCCGGCCTCGAGAATCCGGCCCAACCGGGTTCTCGGCCTTTCTGGGTCGGGAGCGGCCCGCACATCCCGGCCGCGCACGGCGCAGGCCCAGAGTCAGGCGAAGGTCGACGCAAGCCGTAGCAGAACGGGTCGGACTCTGAGTGAGGCCCACTTACCGGACCCCAGGCAGCAGCGGCGGCGCCTAGCGCTCCTGCTTCTCCAGACACTCGCGCGGAAGGAGGGAGCCAAAAAGAGGGAGTAAAAAAAAAAAAAAAAAAAACGCGCCTGTACATGAACCGCTGCGGCTTCCGTACTCCTTTCAAACTGGCCAAGCCAAGCCAATCGGAAGGCGCAGAAACCACACGTGACTTGGCACTAGGGAGTCCTAGGCCCGGCGATAGCCCCGTCACGTGACGGGAAAGTGGCCGCCTCTCTTTGCCTCTCTAGTCAGTCGGTCCTCCCATCATCTCGTTTTCTCAGCATCTAGTATAGGCCTGACTGCAGGTCTTTGCTGAAGCCAAGAATGTTGTAGCGCACCGAGACTTTTAGTGTGTGATGGACCCGTAAATTTCCCGGTCAGAGCCAATGCGCCCTTATCGCCCCACTCCCTTCAAGAACTAAATCGATCCTCTTTCTCCCCATCCGGAAGACATCTGGGAGTCACCTACACGTATGCAAAAAGAAGAGCAGAGGGACTGAGCCTGTCCAGAGACAAAGGAGAGAAAACGGGAAAGGCGGGCCTGAGACAGCCTGAGTTTCTACAGAAGCCACTACCCATATTTTATTTCTTTTATTATTTTCCACTGCCGTCAATTTATGAGATTAAGAAAGCTGCAAAGATATAAAATTTTAAATAAAAATGAACTAAAAAACTAGAGCAGAAGGCCTAATCCCTTTCCCTACCTGCAGATGAATGAGGTGAAATATCTTGTCCAGAAATTCAGGGAAGGAGGGCAAGGTCATGAAGAAAGAAATCGTCATGATTCTTGCACTGTATGAAGATGGCAGGCAGTTTTTCCTTCCTGAGAGCAAGGCATTCCAGGAAAGAGCTGGAGACCAGGACTATCCCAGTGACTTTCCTCCCCTGACCCTCCTGATAATGAGGTGAGCGACCTCCTACCATTCAGGGCCCCAGCTTCCCCACCTGTCAAATGAGATTAAGGGCAGTTTGCTGCAGGCTGAGCAAGTAGCGCACGCTTCCAATCCCGGCGCCGTGGGAACACAAGGGAGGAGGATCAAAAGTCCAAGCCCAACGGGGATTTCTCAAAATTTAAGAAAGGGGGTAGGGTGCTAGGGATATAGCTCATTGTGAAGGCACTGGGTTCAATCCCCAGTACCAAAAAAATAAAAGCAGAGTTTGCTCCATTAGAGATAATCTAAGTTAAGCACCCGTTACTACCCAGCCTTTAAATCGTTCTTGGAAAACGTGGGTTTTACTCCGCAAGGCTCAGGTCCATCCTCCTTTCTCTGTATTCAGCCCCACCCTAAACCAATATTTACTAAACAAACGAAAGCTCTAATCCCAAAGGACATCCCAGCCCTTCCTTGTGGGACTTTTTGACCCTCAGGAGAGGCACAGCCCAATGTTTGTCCCAACCTGAAGAAGCGGGACAAGTTTCTCAGCCCACTTCTCATTGGCAAAGCCAGTCCCATCGAACACTCCAGGGCCTCTCTGGCTAGGGAAGGGTCAGCTGGCGCCTAATTCCGTGCAGGTCAGGGATGAAGCCCTAAAGGTGCACCGGTTTTTCCCACCGCGGCCATCTCGGCTGGACAGAAGGCGCTGTTAGGAGACACGTGTGGAAACCGCCACCTGCGCAAGTGCAAAGCGGCCAAACACTAGAACTACAACTCCCATGTGGCTGCGCGCCTGAACCACCGCGTCTGGGGCTCCGCGAGACTCAAAAACCGCGGGGGGCGTGTGCGAGACGGGGCCTGCAGACCCACTGAGGTGGATATTAAGAGGAACAATGAGATTTAGGGGGCTAGGACTAGGTTGGGGAGTTCTCGGGAGGGGTGTGAGGTGAGGAACTTCCTGTTGAAGTTTAGGCATTGCCCCAAATAAGGGTCAGATGTAGAGCGAGTTTGGGGTGCAACCATTTGTTATCTTCAGCTCTCCTTTTAATGTGGCAAGTTTGCAGAGGCCCTGCATAAACCTTGGGAGAGTCAGAGCAGACCAGAGCGGCTGTTGACGGTGTCTAGTCTAGTCCACTCTATCGGCCCTGGTGTGGGCAGGGAAGTCTGTTTCCCCAGCAAGTGAATTTAAGTGTTGAAGTACAAGTTTCCCCACCTCCATTTCTCTCTCCCTCCCCGCCCCCCCGCGCACCCCGGCCTAGTTTGACACGTGGTACCGCTATATTGTCCAGGCTGGTTCAAACTACTGGACTCAAGCAATCCTCCCACCTCAGTCTCCCGTGTAGCTCGGACTCTAAGTGCCACAACCGTCCCTCCATCATTTAAGCGCCTATCATTGCCTGTCAAATGGTTTCCAAATGTTATCTCGTGTTGCACAGCAAACTGCACTTCAACTAGAAGTGCTCACTACAAAAAGAAACTCGGGGAGCTGACCGCTGACACGTACCTGAAATGGGGAGACAAAGGAAGTCTTTACAATACCCGCGTCTCTCCCTGACCACAGCACTACACCTGAGTTAAAAAGTCAGCATAAGCAGGTAGTGGTGGCACACACCTATGATCCCAGCACTGGGGAGGCTGAGGCAGGAGCATTGGCTTTTGTGACTTCAAGGAAAGCCTAGGGTACTTAGGGAGTTCAAGGCCAACCTAGACTACACAGTGAGACCCTGTCTCAAAAAAAAAAAAAAAAAAAAAAAAGGTCAGCATAAAAAAAATAGTCTCCAAGATATAGCTCAGGGGATAGATTGATTACCTACCATGAGACTGAGTTCCATCCTCAAAACCACAGCCAAACAAACAAACAAAAAACAGTCCCTAAACGCAGGCCAACTTCTTCACCCAGTTGCACAATGATAGGGATGAGTTTCAAACAACATCAAGGTTAAAATCCACTCTATGAATATGGCTTCGTTTTGTACTTATTTTTTATGGTGCTGGAGACGGAACCTGGGGCATGCGAAGCAAGTGCTCTCCACTGAGCCATACCCCAGGCCAGCTTCCTACTTTAGAAACTGAATTTAGAGAAGCTTCCGCCATCTGTAAAAATAGATGAAGGGCCCAAACCACAGAAAGGCTAAGTGATTTACTCAAGATCACACAGCCAAAGGCACTAAAATAAATTGAAGCCAAGGCTGTGTGACTCACCAGCACCTGATTCTCCTCCCCCTGCACTTTTCCCAGGTCAGAGCATGAGCACCTGAAAGGAGGTGCTGGACTTTCAGCTCCTCTGCCTCTTGCTGCTCCAGAATAGAGGCCAAGCTGCTGCAGGGACGACCTACTTCTCCCACTGGTGTTTCTTTTTAAAGATCCAGCCGCTGCTTCTAGGTTTGGGAGAGGAAAAGGCAGGGAAGGCTGCTACTACTTCCCCTCCCCCAGCCCAATCCATCCTTAAGGTCAAAGTCGCACCTAGGCCACCTCAGTGTTCCCACAGACCTTTGAGCCTGCATGGAGAATAAACCAGGTAAGTCGTCCTGTGTTAGCAGGAAGTGAGAGGCACAGGTGTCCTGTTCCAAAGCATGCTTGGTGCTTCATCACCAAGCTGGGTATGACTGCAGAAAAAGGGCTCTGCACCTGCTATTCTTTCTGCCAGGATTCTCCTGTGGACCATGGACCATGTCATTGCTCTCTCGCCTCCTTCAGGACTCAAGACTCATGTCACTTTCACAGGGAGGTCATCCCTGACCTACCTAACCTTGCCCAGGCTCCCACTTTCCCCTGGGACCTTCCCTGGCCCAATGTTTAACTGACATGTTTCGTGTATTTCTTGCTGCTCCCCAACTACAAGGGCAGGGATTTTTGTTTTTCTTTTTGAGACAGGGACTCACTATGCACCTCAGGTTGAACTTGAGCTCACTCTGTAGCCCAGGCTAGTCTCAAAAGTTCAACCCTCCTGCCTCAGCCTCCCAAGCGCTGGGATTATAGGTATGCACCACCATGCCCAGCTCTAGGGCAGGGATTTTTGCATGCTGGCAGCAGCTTCACCTCCATGCAAGCAGGTGGTGAATATGTTACATGGGTGAACACCTGCTGTAGGCTGCACCTGATAGAATGAGAGGCCTGGGCACCCATCCTCTCCCAGAACCAGTGCCTCTCCTCCCCTACGTCCCTTCAGGCCCAGGCACTCTCTGCCTTATCTCTATTTTTTCAGGGTTTTTTTTGGTACTGGGAATCGAACTCAGGACCTTGCACTTGCCAGGCAGGCGCTTATGCCGCTGAGCTATATCCCCAGCCCCTTCTGCCTTATCTCTACACTGAGCCCTCTGCTAGTCTGCACCTTCACCTCCCCTGGGACTCTGAGAGTGACTAAAACCACCAATCCCCTCCCCCACAGCACCTCTCTCCTGCCCATTATGTCACCACCAAAAACGGCTCCCCTGTTGTGCCCTATTGTGCTCCCTGTGGTCCTCAAAGAGGAAATGTGGCTTCTCTGCTCACTGCTATGGCCCTCAGGGTCAGGAAAAGCCCTAGCATATAATAGGTGCTCAATAAGTGCTGAATGAGAAAAACAACAGGTTCGCCCCAGCCAAAATGTAAGGTAGGGACATGTATATGCATGTGCGCACAGGCACGTGTCTACAGGCGTGTATGTTGCTGGGGATGGAATCCAGGGCCTGCCCACGTCAAGCAGGTGAAATACCACTGATCTTTACCACTGACCTTCACCCCCAGGGGCAGTCACCATGGGACTGCAAAGAGACACAGGACTGAAGGTGCTACAGAGTGGGTACAGTCCAGAGGAAAGGGGACGGCTTAGGTGAGTCCAGGCTGACAGGGAGACTCCTTGTCCTTCCTCCCACCTACATAGCCCCATGCTGGGCTGAACCCAGGCAATGGTGGGCAGTGGTGCTGACAAGAG